CCGCTAATTCGACCTCACTTTTTTTGTGATTTTTGAAAAATATTTTTTTTTTTTATTTTTGACTCATTTTTTTGCAATTTTACCATCACTTACCGCAATTCTAAATCCACTTTTTCACGATTGTAAACCGACTTTTCTGTAAATATAATCTCATTTTTCCGCGATTCTTGTCTCACTTTTTTTTGCGATATTATTCTCACTTTTCCGCGATTCATATTTCATTCTCCGCGATTTTATCCTTACTTTTCGTGACTTTATCCTCATTTTTCCGTGAGTCTCATCTTACTTTTCCGCGATTTTAAATTTACTCTTTTTGAAATTTTTGACTCATATTTTTCTTGCGATTTTTGACTCTTTTTTTTTGTGATTTTATCATCACTTTCCACGATTTTATCCTCATTTTTCCTCATTTCAAAATTACGAAAATAACGATAATTTTTGAAAAGTTACGAAAAATTACGTAAAATATGAAAAATTAGAGAGAGTTGCAAACATTTACGAGAATTACGGAACATTACGAGAATTACGGAATAACAAAAAATTGCGGAAATTACAAAAATTATGGGAATTGCCAAATATTACGCAAAAGAATTACGAAGTCACTCCAAAATTACGTCAATTATTTAAATATTACTAATTTTTGAAAAGTTACGAAAACTAACAAGACAAATTACGGGAATTACGAAAAATAATGGGAATTTTAAAAATTTACGGAACCTAGTAAAATGACGGAAATGACGAAAATTTGCGGGAATTATGAGAAATTATGAAAATTACGGGAATTGAGAAAAATACAAAAAACTACGAAAATTACAAAAATTACGGGTATTACGGTAATTCCCAAAATAACGGAAATCACAATTTTTTGAAATTACGAAAATTACAATAACTTAGGGAGAATTAGAAAATTCCCAATTTTTTTTGGAAATTAGGAAAATTGAAAATTAAAATAATTACTGGAAAAAGCGCGAAAAATTGCGGGAATAACGAAAATTACCAAGTTTTCCAAAAATTGAAAAAAATAACGGGGAATTAGAAAATAACAAGAATTATCTCAGAAATGACACGAATTGAAATTTCGAAAATCCCCAAAAAAAAAATACGGAAATTACCAATTTTCGAAAATTTCAAAAACTTAAAGAAAATTATAAAACTAACGAAATTTTTTTGAGAAATTACGGAAATTAAAAAATTACGAAAATATGTAATGGGAATTACGAAAATTTCGAGTTTTTCGAAAATTGTAAAAACTAAGGGGGTATTAGGAAAATAACGAGAATTATCTGAGAAATGACAGGAATTACAAGATTTCGAAAATTCCCAAAATAAAATACGAAAATTACGAGACTTATATAATTTCAAAATTATGAAAATAACGGAGTTGTCTGAGAAATTACAGGAATTAAAAAATTACGGAAATCTGAAAACTACAGGAATTATTCAAAAATTATGAAAAATACGAAAAAATCACGAGAATTAAAAAAATTGTGACAATTTTCAAAAAATTACGAAAATAACAAGAATTACAAAAAGTTACAAAATTCACGAATTTTCCGAAAATTGCAAAAACTAAGGGGGAATTATGAAATTAACGAGAATTTTTTAAAAAATGACGGGAATTTAAGAATTTTCGAAAATTCCAAGAAAAAAAAAATACGGGAATTACCCATTTTGTGAGAATCACAACAAACTGGGGGGGAATTATAAAGATAACGGAGTTTTTTTGAGAAATTACGGGAATTACAAAATTACGAAAATTTGAGGAACTACAGGAAATATAAAGATTGGAAGAGATAAGGAAAAATCACGAGAATTGCGAAAAAATTACGATAATTTTTGGTAAGTTACGGGATTTATGAAAAAGTTACGGGAATTACGAAAATTACGAGTTTTCCAAGAATTGCAATGACTAAGGAAGAATTATAGAAATAGGGAGAATTATCTGAGAAATTACGGAAATAATGAAAATTCACAATAAAATTTTTTTGAAAATTACGAGAATTACGAATTTTTGAAAGTAACAAAAACTTAGGGGGAATTATAAAATAAGTAGGTAACTGAATATTTTGAAAAATTACAGAAATTAAAAAACTGAGAAACAACAGGAATTATTCAAAAATTACGGGAATTTAGGAAAGTTACGAAAAATTAAGAAAATTAGGAAAAAGTTATGGGAATTACGAAAATTAGGAGTTTTGCAAAAATTGCAAAAACTAAGAAAAAATTATAAAAATAAGGAAATTTATTTGAGAAATAACGACTTTCAACAATTTTTTTTCGCAATTTAACCTTCACTTTTCCGCAATTTCAAAGTCCAAACTCACTTTCTCGCAATTTCAACAAAATTTTCCGCGAATTTTGCCTCACTTTTCCGTTATTCTTTCCTCATTTTTCAATAAGTATAAGCTCACTTTTCCGCGATTTTCGCCTCACATTGCCGCAATTTCAACCTAATTTTTCCATAATCTTTACTTTTGTTTTTCGTATTTATAACCTCATTTTTTCTCGATTATAACCTTGCTTTTCCGCCATTTTTACTCAACTTTTTCGCAATTAGGGAATCCAAGCCACGTGACTTTTGCCAACCAGCCGGCATTTTGAAATTTTTATGAGGTTAGAATAGAATACGGGTTTTTACATGTCAACGATGTCAGATTTGAGAACTCGTCCCGTGTATTGATAAAGCCTGGTACTCATAAAAGCGAAATTCGCTCTTTTTTCAACGTCAAATTGTCGATGCAATGTCAAAAAAGAGCAAATTATGAGTACTAGGCTTAATCCTGCCAAAAAAAAAACATATGTGTTTTGTTTATTGTTTGCCAACCAGACGCCATTTGGACAGGTCGTTGGATTGCCTAATTCCAACATTTCCAACCTCATTTTTCCGTAATTTTTACTTCTATTTTTCGTAATTCCAACGTCACTTTCCAGCAATTTTGACACTCACTTTTTCGCAATTTTTGAAAAGTTACGGAAAATTGCAGGAATTACGAAAAATTACTGGAATTATAAAAATAAAGAGAATTATAAAAATTACAAAAATTATAGGAATTATGAAAATCACGAATTTTTGAAATTATGAAAATTACAAAACTTGGGGAGATTTTAAAAATAACGAAGTTTTTTAAAAATTTAGGAGAATTAAAAATAAGTACAAAAAACGGGAATTACGAAAAAATTATGATTTTTGAAGTTATGGGAAAATTACGAAAAAGTTATGGGGGAATTACGAAAATTATGAGTTTTTCGAAAATGCAATAACTAAGGAAAAATTGACTTTTTTAAGCAAAATTCATTTTCTTACATTTTATTTTTTTTCTAGAAAACTGGCAAAAGGATAATTGTGGAAATTTTTCAGAAAAAAGAGGAAAGTGAGGATCTCATTAAAACAAAATTTCAAAATTTTCCAGTAAAAAATCACTTCAGGAAAAATTCTGGAAAATTGACTTATTTAAGCAAAATTAAGGAAAATTCATCCTCTCACATTTCAATTTATTTCTGGAAAACTAATAAAGCAAAAGTTGTGAAATTTTTCCAAGAGAAAGAAGAAAATAAGGAGCTCATTATAGGAAAATTTCGAAATTTTTCAGTGAGAAATCACTTGGAAAATCGACTTTTTCAAGTAAAATTAAGGAAAATTCATCCTCTCACATTTTTTTTTTTTGGAAAACTAGTAGAGAAGTTCATTATATGTATGTATAAAAATTTCAAAATTTTCCAGTAAAAAATCACTCCAGAAGAAATTCTGGAAAACTAACTTTTAACCAAAATTCATTTTTTTAATTTTAAATTTTTTCTGGAAAACTGGCAGAAGGAAAATTTCAAAAATTTACAGTGAAAAATCACTCTAGGAGAAATTTTATTTATATATTTTCGGATAACTGAATAAATTCTCTTCTAAGTTAAAAAATGTATTACAAAACAATAATTCCGAAGGTGCTCCATGAATTAATCTATGACATAACTTTTTCTCTAAGTTATGACGTCATCGATGACGTAAGTAAAAACTTGCGTGCCGTGTTTGAAATTTCAGACATAAAAAAATCAATTTTTTTTAAAAAAAAGCAAATGATGACGTAAGTACAAACCCTCGTGAAACCAACTTTTCACGCGTCTCATTTTCTTTCCATCAAACTCCAAAAATTTGCACTTTCCCCCCCGTTTATCGAAAAATTAAAAGATCCTATGCTTGTCTCCCCACTCTCCCCCCCCCCCTCGTTTTTCAAAAAGTTGAAAAATCCTTATGCTACTAGGGGCGCGTTTGGGTTGACGATCGGTGCACTCAGAGCGTGCACTTTTGTCTCTCTTCCGTTATTTTTGAAGCGCCGACAACGCTTGATTGTGTTTGGTTTGACATATTTTGAGCGCTCCGTGCGAGCTCGATAAACTCCGAGTTTGTGGAGTGGGCAGCTGGAGCGTGCATGCGCAGATCAAATGTGTTTACTTTTAATAGAAGATTTCATTATGAATGACTTTGGCAGAAAGTCGACAAACAAAGTCACATAACCTATAAATAGCATTGTCAATGTTATTAATTTTTTTTCAATTTTGGGCTTAAATTTAATAATTATGGCAGTTTTGAGAGAACGTGATATGTTTTATCGAGAGGCGATGTGTGTTTGGTGATTGTAAAAGTGATAGTCGAACGAGTTCCATTAAATTAACGACCCCATTTGCCTCTACTAACCCAAACTAACCCAAACACACATCGCTTCATCGCCTCTCGATAAAACACATCACGTTCTCCCAAAACTGCCATAATTATTAAATTTAAGCCCAAAATTGAAAAAAAATTAATAACATTGACAATGCTATTTATAGGTTATGTGACTTTGTTTGTCGACTTTCTGCCAAAGTCATTCATAATGAAATCTTCTATTAGTGTTTAGGTCCATTTTATTGTTTATGTAGCACGATATTTTCAGCAGAACACAAAAGAAAATGGGGCTGTTTGAAAATTATCGACTAAAATAAAAAATAAACGAGAAAACTTTGGCGTTTGTAAATGAATCTATAAGGGACAATGAAGCTCCTGAAAATTCTAGAAACAGTTCCAGAACTAGGAAGCAAAACACACAATCTAACTCAAGACATTATCATCAATCATTGCATGATAATGTCAATGCAATATCCACTGTAGATATCCATATGGATAATGAAACTCCTGAAAATTCTGGAACCAGTTCAAGGCTACAAAATAAAAGTAGCACCCAGAATTCAACCTTGAAACCTCTCGGTGTCAGAAAAAGATCTGATAGTTGTAGTACATCTAATCAAAAAAAGCAGCCTTTAGAGGATGAAATTCAAAATAGTGTGCTAACAAAAAGTACTAGGGGTAGGAAGAAAAATCAGGCTCCAAAAGATGAAACTGAAAACAATAATAATGCTAAAAAAGCTAAGATAGGTAAAAATGAACTATCACATATTGATGAGTCGTTTATTTTGCCTGAGCAAGGTAAGGATTTTAGTTGAAATTTTTTGATTTATTTATAGTGTGAATTTTCAGATGGCCGCAGACAACTAAGAGTACGCAAACCACCAATTCACTGTCCAATAATTGACTTGGCCACTTCAATAAAATCATACGCTTTTGATCCAGCATTATTGAAAAAATTTAAAAAAAACAGTAAGGCGGCCGAAATTGATACATCATCGTTCACAGCTAGCCAAACCCAAAGACTCACTAACCAAATGCCCACTGTACAAGAATCATCTAGAATTGAACCACCTGGTAAGAAGTATTTTCATTCAAAAACAAAACTTATAGCTTGTAATTTTTATTATAGTGGAGAGTGAAATACAATTGCCACAAGATCGCAACTGTGAGGATTCAGATTTTGGCTTCGCGTCCATTTCGGTTGAGAAAAAAGTTCCAAGAAAGACTGGCTTGGGAGGCAAAACGTCTAGTAGAAGAACGAAAACAATCGAAGAAGGTTAGAGATTGAATTTTACAATATATTTAGGTTTTTTCAAGTCATAATTTAAATGGAAAAATTTCGATTTTGATTTTTTTTAGAATTTTCAATTTTTGATTAGCATTTTTGTGATTTTTCTTTTTCAAGTTTTAGGGCCTGTGACAAATTAAAAATGATTTTTGCATTTTTTGCGCTGAGAAATTTTGCTTATTCGACATTGCCTAACAAAATCGCTTATAACTCAATTATTCTTTTATAAATTCAAATGCATATTGATATATTCTTGATCAGAATAATAGACCTATCTATTTTTAGGCAATGTCTTTTTATTGGCTAGCTAATACAGGTGTGAGGTGATCGTTTTGCACGCTAGGCATCTCTTTATCCTTGTTCATTGCACATGATCTGACAAGAATAAATCTAAAGTTGATATTCAACTTGACAAGTGTCATTCAAGAGTTGTTTGACATTTTCATTGACAAATACGTTGCACAACACGCGGTTTTTCCTTTTTCCTTTTTATCCTGTGCAAATAAGAAGGACGGATTGCTATACGTAAGTCTAACCAAAGAATATTATAGACTAACGTCTCTAGAAGTCTCGTCCATATTCTGATTTTTGATACCTCGATGGACGCCGACTTTTGCCGGTGTGGACGCTGGTTCGAGTCTATTGCCCACTATTGCCAAGTTGTCAGTGCTGTTGATTCGGCGTCCAGCCAGCGTCCGTGTCCGCTTCTCTGAATGAAATTATTAGAGTAAAATATTTGCTTTGCATGCATAGGAAAACAGACGCGTTACCAATGTTGGGAATTGGGAATTAGCCGATGCCACGAATGATAAGTACTTCGATAATTAAAACTCGGTTATTGAATAAAAATGCTTCGTTTTGGGGGGGGGGGCACTTAGTTAAAATGTTGAGAGGCAACCCGACCGTTCAAAGTGAAGCTTGAAATCTGAATCTGATGTTTTCAGCGTGAAGATGGAATGCTATATGCTACTCGATTCACCTAAATTTGCACAATTTCGCATGCCTATTTTCAAATTTTGCACACTTTTCTGAGGAAAGTTAAAGTAAAGTGTGTTTTTTTTTTTAAAGATAAAAGTCAAAATGACATTAAGTTGGCAATGCAATGTAAAATTGTCAATGCTTTCAATTTTTTTATGTAGAAAAGGCTTGTGTTGCCAGCATAGTTACTAAATTTTTGACTTGAGGAATTAAAACAGATTTTATGTTTTTTTTAAAAAATAATTCCCTTTAAAAAAAAAACTTTATGAAGAATTGGCGGGGATCCGCCGTTTGTCGAAAAATTGAATAATTTTATGCTGCTCGCCATAGGCGCAACTAGGGGGTGCTTGGAGGTGCTAAGCACCTTTAAAGCAAAAATTAGCACTCCCATTCGGCATATCACTTTTCCGCGATTCTAAATTCACTTTTCCGCGATTGTAAACCCACTTTTCCGCACATATTACCTCATTTTTCCGCAATTTTTATCTCACTTTTTCACAAATTCACACTCACTTTTTTTGAAATTTTTAACTCATTTATTTTGCGATTTTTGACCCACTTTTTTGCAATTTTGTTTTCACTTTTTTGCGATTTTTGGCTCTTTTTTTTACGATTTTTGACTATCTTTTTTTGCGAATTTGTCCTTACTTTTTTTTGCGATTTTTGCCTCACTTTTTTGCGATTTTACCCTCACTCCTCGGCGATTACAAACTTATTTTTCCGCTATTTCATCCTCATTTTTCCGCGATTCTTACCTCATTTTTCTGCGATTGTTTCCCTACTCTCCGCGATTTTATCCTCACTTTTCGTGACTTTATCCTTATTTTTCCGTGAGTCTCATCTTCATTTTCCGCGAGCTTAAATTCACTCTTTTTGAAATTTTTGACTCATATTTTTCTTGTGATTTTTGACTCTTTTTTTTGCAATTTTATCATCACTTTCCGCGATTTTATCCTCATTTTTCCTCATTTCAAAATTACGAAAATAATGATAATTTTTGAAAAGTTACGAAAAATTACGTAAAATATGAAAAATTAGAGAGAGTTCCAAAATTTACGAGAATTACAGAACATTACGAGAATCACGGAATAACAAAAAATTGCGGAAATTACAAAAATTATGGGAATTGCCAAATATTACGCAAAAGAATTACGAAGTTACTCCAAAATTATCCAAAATTACGAAAAATAATGGGAATTATAAAAACTTACGGAACCTAGTAAAATGACGGAAATGACGAAAATTTGCGGGAATTATGAGAAATTATGAAAATTACGGGAATTGAAAAAATACAATATTGCGGAACAGAATTACAAAGTCATTTCAAAATTACGTGAATTACGGTAATTCCCAAAATAACGGAAATCACAAGTTTTTGAAATTACGAAAATTACAATAACTTAGAGAGAATTAGAAAATTCCGATTTTTTTTGGAAATTAGGAAAATTGAAAATTAAAAAATTGAAAATATAAATAATTACTGGAAAAAGCGCGAAAAATTGCGGGAATAACGAAAATTACCAAATTTTCCAAAAATTGAAAAAAATAAGGGGGAATTAGAAAATAACAAGAATTATCTGAGAAATGGCAGGAATTAAAAAATTTCGAAAACTTTTTTTTTTTGACAGGTCCAATGACAAATGACACCTATAATTTTTTTTTTTTTTTTTTTTTTTAAGTATGTCATTTTTTTTTGACAGGTTCAATAATAGGTATGTTTTTTTTTTTTTTTCAAACATTTTTTGGCAGGTCCTATAATATGAAAAAAAAAATTATTTTTCAAATGTCATTTTTTGACAGGTCGAAACATAAAAAAAAAAAAAAAATGTTTTTTTAAACGTAATTTTTTGACAGGTCCAAACTTATAAAAAAAAATATTTTTTTTCAAACGTCATTTTTTGACAGGTCCAATCCTATAAAAAAAATAAAAAAATTCAAATGAATTTTTTTTTTCTTTTCTAAGTGTCATTTTTTTTGACAGGTCCAATATGATTTTTTTTTTTTCAAACGTCATTTTTTGACAGGTCCAATCCTATAAAAAAAAACATTTTTCAAATTACAGGTCCGATGACACCTATAAATTATTTTTTTATTTTTTTTTCAAGTATCATTTTTTTTTGACAGGTCCAATAATATGAAAAAGTTTTTTTTTTTTTTCAAACGTCATTTTTTTCACAAGTCCAAAGTTATAAAAAAAATTTTTTTTTTCAAACGTCATTTTTTGACAGGTCCAATCCTATAAAAAAAATTTTTTTTTCAAATGTATTTTTTTTTTTGACAGGTCCAAAGACACCTATATTTTTTTTGTTTTTTTTTCAAGTGTGTCATTTTTTTATAATACAGTATGAACAAAAAAATTTTTTTTTTTTTCAAATGTCATTTTTTGACAGGTCCAAATTTATAGAATTTATTTATTTTTTTCAAACGTCATTTTTTGACAGGTCCAATTCTATTTAAAAAAAAAATTTTTTCAAATGAAATTTTTTTTTTTGACAGGTCCAATGACACTTATAAAATTTTGTATTTTTTTTTGCAAGTGTCATTTTTTTTTGACAGGTACAATAATATGAATTTTTTTTTTTTTTCAAATGTCTTTTTTTTTGACAGATACAATGATATGAATTTTTTCTTTTTTAAATGTCATTTTTTGACAGGTCCAAACTTAAAAAAAAATATTTTTTTTCAAACGTCATTTTTTGACAGATCCAATCCTATAAAAAAAATTCAAATGAATTTTTTTTTTCTTTTCTAAGTGTCATTTTTTTGACAGGTCCAATATGTTTTTTTTTTTTTTTCAAACGTCATTTTTTGACAGGTCCAATCCTATAAAAAAAAAAAATTCAAATTACAGGTCCGATGACACCTATAAATTATTTTTTTATTTTTTTTTCAAGTATCATTTTTTTTTGACAGGTCCAATAATATGAAAAAGTTTTTTTTTTTTTTCAAACGTCATTTTTTGACAGGTCCAATCTTATAAAAAAAAATTTTTTTTTCAAATGTATTTTTTTTTTTTTTGACAGATCCAATGACACCTATAAATTATTATTTTTTTTTTTTCAAGTGTGTCTTTTTTTTTTTGATAGGTCCAATAATATGATTTTTTTTTTTTTTTTTTTCAAATGTCTTTTTTTTTGACAGGTACAATGATATGAATTTTTTTTTTTAAATGTCATTTTTTGACAGGTTCAAACTTAAAAAAAAATATTTTTTTTCAAACGTTATTTTTTGACAGGTCCAATCCTATAAAAAAAAAAAATCCAAATTACAGGTTTAATGACACCTATAAATTTTTTTTTTTTTTTTGCAAGTGTCATTTTTTTTGACAGGTCCAATACATAATATGAATTTTTTTTTTTTTTCAAATGTCATTTTTGACCAGTCCAAATTTAAGAAAAAAAAATTTTTTTTTTTAAACGTCATTTTTTGACAGGTCCAATCTTATAAAAAAAATTTTTTTTTTCAAATGTATTTTTTTTTTTTTTGACAGATCCAATGACACCTATAAATTATTATTTTTTTTTTTTTCAAGTGTGTCTTTTTTTTTTTGATAGGTCCAATAATATGATTTTTTTTTTTTTTTTTTCAAATGTCTTTTTTTTTGACAGGTACAATGATATGAATTTTTTTTTTAAATGTCATTTTTTGACAGGTTCAAACTTAAAAAAAAATATTTTTTTTCAAACGTCATTTTTTGACAGGTCCAATCCTATAAAAAAAAAAAATCCAAATTACAGGTTTAATGACACCTATAAATTTTTTTTTTTTTTTTGCAAGTGTCATTTTTTTTGACAGGTCCAATACATAATATGAATTTTTTTTTTTTTTCAAATGTCATTTTTGACCAGTCCAAATTTAAGAAAAAAAAATTTTTTTTTTTAAACGTCATTTTTTGACAGGTCCAATCTTATAAAAAAAAATTTTTTTTTCAAATGTATTTTTTTTTTTTTGACAGATCCAATGACACCTATAAATTATTATTTTTTTTTTTTTCAAGTGTGTCTTTTTTT